TTACAAGACAAAAAGCTACAGAACAAATCCACTCCTAGACCTTCCTTAAGTACTCAAGAGCGGCTACTACAATCAGGGGTATGGTAGTCTACAGCTATAACACAGCAACCGATTGCTTATGTTGATTAGTAACTGTTGCTATCATAACATTGTAACCATTGCAACGCATTGACTATGTTACTAGGGAAGTTCCTGACTTGGTTGACCAGACTGAGCGCAGCATCTCAGCATTAGCCCATGGCACAATGGTAGTGACAAGCAGGCCGTTTTCCTCGTGGGAAAGCCGGTCTGTGACAACAGCCTAGTGCTAGAACATTCCCTTGTGATATCATTTCTCTCCTACGAGAAATGACAAGCTAGTTCTCCTTCAGTCCATCAGTCTCTTGCTGATTCCATTATCTCTATTCCATCGAGTTCTAGTTTGGTCCATAATACTCACACATGCATTACACACTAAACACCCCACAGTTTAGTTCCACAGTTACGTGTATCTGCTATGACGTGATCTAAAGCACGAACCATAGTAAGTTACATTAATAACACAACAAATACCAATACCCAAGCTCACATTGAAGTTCCGAGGCCATACTTGTGTAGTTGATAGATCCATAAACTTCCCACAGAGCCTGCTCTTTATGATGGTAAATATCTGAAGTAGTCACATCTCACAGACCAGCTCTGTGATATTGTGTTGTACCTGGCCAACCGCCCCTTGAGTAAACTCAGGAATAGGGTCAGTGCATTGTGATGGTTACAGTGTTGTGATAGCAACAGTCACTAGTCAAGATACTGATCAGTTGCTATGTAAAAGCTATGGGTGTGACTGTTGTAGCCTGTAGATATCTAGGCGCTCATCTCTTCCCAATGATGCACTCTAATTGGTCTACACTCGGCGTAAAGTTATTCCGGGACTCCGTACTCTTTGTAATTTCTATGTAGCAACAAGAGTCTTCTCTCTTTAGATTAAATATAACTTATAATTCAATGCTGTAATGGCTAGAAGTAGAATTGTCTTCAAATTGTATTCAAATTGTACTTTGTGCTGTGTGCTGTGTATAGAAGATCTTAAACTAAAGAAAGAATATGGAAGAGGAAAAGTCTTCCTTATATACATTGAAAGGTGGTCTGTGCTGTTGCCAGACTATACCAAAATAGAGCAGCTAAATAGTCACCTGATTGGTATCAGCTCAGATCAGTCACCCAAGCCCAAGCTTTGGCTGCCTTAGGCTCTAGCCTATGACAACCACAAGCAGTACGCTTCCCCTGACAATATATTTAATCACAACAACAACAGCGCAGTTAAGGAAGTCCCTTGATTTGTTTCAGTAAGATTTAATCTAGGAAAGACTTGAATATGAAAGAAGGAATGCATTACAAACAACAATATTATGAAAGAAGGAACAATAAGATAAGAAGTCTGAACATAAAGTAGTTTGAAGTGAAAGGAATAGACGCAAACAAATCCGCAATGTTACGGTTTGACCGTGGCTTGGCTTACGTGGAGACCTAAGCAGAGTTTGGGGGTGTATTAGGGAGAGTGTTACATATTATCTTGTATCAAGCAACTAAGTTTCACTTGGCTACATTACATTGGAGCGAGGAATTAATGCGAGACAGCGAAGTAGAATTGCCAAGTGAGAGAGTCAGCTAGATGGCAAAGATGACGACGGGCTGTGGCGGAGCAATATGTCATTCTCACCAACAGAGTACGTACTGGATGAGCTAGAAGGATGTACAAATAGTCATTGCCCTTAGTTGTGGTACTTCTCTCTTCATATAGTTTAATCTTTCTAAAAGTACACTACAACCAGCTTGGTTTTGTCACAAGAAGAATTTACCTGCAAAATGTAATTATCCAATTCACAACAAGGAACTTTTGGCTATTATACGTTGTTTAGATGAGTGGGATGCCAAATTACGTAGCATAAAAGATCCATTTCAGATATTCACAGACCACCGAGATCTTGAGCATTTTATGCAAGCACATCAACTTAACAAGCAACAAATAAGATAGTCTCAAAAGCTGGCATGCTACAATTTTCAATTAAGTTACCAACCAGGAACGGAAGCCGTCTTACCTGACACATTGTCTCGTAGGGATCAGGATATGCCAGAAAATCGGGATATTTGATTGGATGAGAGAGTCATGGAGCTATTACCAAAATGGGATAAAGTAATCTATGCATTCCCAGCAATGATTTCAGCAATCAAATCTCCATTTCATGATGACAAATTTACACAGCTCTGGGAGCAAGCCTGCAAAGCCAATAAAACATGTGCAGAAATCAAGAAAACAGTTGAGTCGACTGCAATACAGTGACTTTCTGAACTTAAGATGTGTGGGGTGGATCAATGCCTGTGTACTATCAACGACTCAGGTGCTGTTTGTCGAGCAGGAAGACTCTGGATTCCAGATTACGAGCCTCTTCGAACTAAATTAATTCAAACAGTACACAACTCACAAGTAGTAGGTCATCCAGATCGTGACACCATGATTGATGTGTTGGGGCGACAATTCTTTTGGCTAGGATTCTCGCAGGACATCAAGCAGCTCACTAGTAACTGTGATATTTGCGGTAGTGCTACAGTATGGCGACAAAAGCGCTGGGGGTTATTGAAACCACAGCCAGTACCTAATCACGTTTGGCGGTCTATTTCGATGGATTTTATCACAGACTTACCAGAAGTGGATGGATGTAATGCTTGTTTGGTCATAACAGATAGACTTAGTAAGGGAGTAATTCTTGAGCCGATCTGCTCCATGACTGCAGAAGCAACTGCCAACACCTATATCAATGCAGTTTATTGACATCATGGGCTACCTTCCGACATCGTCAGCAATTGTGAATCCCAGTGGGTAAATGCTTTTTGGAAAAAATTATGCGAGGTATTGAATATTAAAAAGCGGCTCAGTACAGCTTTCCATCCACAGACAGATGGAGCAACAGAGCGGATGAATCAAGAGCTCCAACATTTTATACGAGTTTTCTGTACATACCAGCAGAGTGATTGGAAAGAACTTTTGACTCATGCTCAGCTGGCCATAAATAATCGATCTGCTAGTTCTACAAAAGTGAGCCGGTTTTTCTTGAGTGACGGATATCATCCGGAACCAATCGAGTTAGTTACGGAACCAACTCAAATAGAAGGTGCAGATAACCCTGTTGCGCGAGGAGAGCGTCTAGTGAAGAAAATGAAAGACGCAAGGGAGTTCGCGCAAGCTGCTATTGCTGTTGCCCAACAGGAACAGGAGCGACACGCAAATAAAAATCGAGCTCCTGCCCACCGATTCCGCACTGGAGATAAGGTCTAGATACATCTAGAAAATATTAGAACTGACCGGCCATCAAAAAAGTTTGAGTGGATTCATGCAAAGTACGAAGTAGTAGAAGTGTTATAATCCTAGTCCATGCTAACACAACGCAGAGACGTGCATGGTCTAGGTCATGGATCAACATAGTCGCTGTGCCTACACAATTGAGGTAAGCTATGTAGTGGTTGGAGAGATAGGTTGAGGACCAGGATGTTGAGAAGTGATAGCAGTGCACAGACCAGCTTCTCATGTATTTAGACAGGTGGTCAGGCACTGCCCCCAAAAGTGTCCAAAATAGATCACATCATTTATCCATCATACTTTAGCAAATAATAATCCCTCCTAAAGTCTACATCTCAGTTCTCGTACATTATATCACAACTGACTCTAAGTCCATCCCAAGAATATCTCCAGTGCTCATCATTTATAACAAGAAGCTGTTGGCTCACATTCATATCGAATCAAGGTACCAAGAGGAATTCACGACGTATTTCACGTGTCATTACTTCAGGCAGTCAGCATGGATCCTTTTTCTTCGCAAGAAAACGAAGATGTACAGCCTCTGGCAGTCATTGCGGAAGATAATCAAGTAGAGTGGTATGTGTTATGCTCAGCTATGTAGTATGGTAGATCTAGTAGCTGGTGCAAAGGTAGTTATTATGGCAGTATGGCATCATGGCACATGAAGGAGATCCAGTCTCTACATAACGACATTACAAGTAGGAATGTGTGCAGTATGAGAGATGGGTTGTTGATATAGGATAAATGGCATGGCTGCTCAGTTGGTTGCACACTTTGGTGAGCTGCATACTGGTAACGTGATTGGTCTACAGGGAAACAAGCTAGGGGATAAGGGACGAGCTTCCCCCAATCTGTAACATAATAATTATCATAGTCACTTCACTTCCGCACATTAATGAAGACATCTCTCCACATACTATCTTAGCTGTTCCAGCGCAAGTGTACATTCCCAAATCATATACCAATCATAATAGTATGTAGAAAAAATACTAAAGGCATGAACTAAACGTATTGGCCGTGGAAGTAGAAGAGAGGCCCTTGTAAAATGGAATGGATATATTGCTCCCACTTGGGAACCAATTAGTAATATCAAAGATACTGTGGCCTTAGATCAGTTTTAAGAATTGAATGGTCCTATAGAGACAAATAATGAATCGGAAGGTGAGATGGGAGGCCAAAGACAACTCTCCTCAAAAAAGAAAAAAAAGTCCCTTTAAATTATAGAAGAGAACTGAATAGGAGAGAGTAGTGTATCACTGGGGAGGAATAGAATTAAATTTAAGTCTCTACTGAGTCTATGACTATGACAGACTCACTGGGGAGGAAGAGGATTATGTGAAAGTTGTAGCCTGTAGATATCTAGGCGCTCGTCTCTTCCCAATGATGCACTCTAATTGGTCTAGACTCGGCATAAAGTTAATCCGGGATTCCTTACTCTTTTTAATTTCTATGTAGCAACAAGAGTCTTCCCTCTTTAGATGAAATATAACTTATAATTCACCACAAGCAGTACGCTTCCCCTGACAGTGGGCTATTGCACCCTTGATTGTAGTAACCGGTCTCAGGTAGTTAAGGAAGCACTTGGGCTGTATTTATACTGTAGCTTGTTGTCTTGTATCTTATCTACATCCTAGAATCTCGTCTCTATCCTAGTCTTCGTCCTCGACTACATCTCGCCCTCGTCCCAGTTTCCTCCCCAGTCCTTCTCCTCATAAATTATCTGCCTTCCGACCCCTGACATCACTTGACACGATGATTTGATGGTTTTCACGCCAGATCCCGGCACCATCCCAGTTTGGAAGTGGTTAATCCAAGATTCTTCGGTTAATATGGCACAAAGCCGATAACGATCGTCAAATAAGAGGCTGGTCATTAAAATATATTTGTAATCATTGTTCTCAGATTCTTTTCTCATCAGTTAGTCATTTTTTGTCGTAATTTAGTTTTGAAGCTTACCAGACCAAAGTGATCTGATTTGATAATTATAATATTCATGTGGGCTACCGTCATCATACATAAGCCATTCCGTTCTCATTTTCCCTTCAAAGTGACTTAAAATCTCTTGCATCGAAATTTTGGTTACATAATGTCCTCGCAAAAGACTAATTGCTTCCAGTCTTTCTGTTTTAATGTCGGCTGCCCTTATTTGCTTTTTGAAACAGCTGAATACTTTGCTTTCCTCCGCAACATGGCTCACTGTGTAGCCAAATATAGTCGGCACGAAAAGGCTTACGCTTTGAAGGAGTACTAGAGTATTGATAACAAGCATAATGGTTGATTGACTTGCATGCACCGAAAATAATTGGATGGTTCAATGAAAAAACTTGTACAAACAATCGAAATTGGCAGAGCGACGGCCAATATATGTAATAGATTAACTCTGCTATCTTTTAGCCAGGCTACTGTGCAAAATAAATTGCGAAGATAGCAGATCTATATGTATTGGGTTTATCCTTGCATTCTCTATTTTAACCGGAGATTCTTCGAGAAGGATCTTGGTAGCGCAATGTAAATGACAGACGTGTGGATAATTTCCCACTTTCTGCTTCAATTGATATAATATTGCCGGTCCCACATTAGTTCATCCTGACCTTCGGAAAATCCTTCATTTCCATTTCCTGACACTGCTCTTTTATTGGCCACTAAAATTCTCTACATGACTCAGTAGCTCTCGTCAATAATAGTAAATGACTTATTCAATTGTCCTGATTTGGCGCCTTGAGGCCCATGCAGGTTTTTATCAAGAGATATATACAGTCTCTTGTGGATAGAAAAGGTAAATTTGTCAAAATGACTGGGGTGGGATCCCTGTAAATATGTATTTGATTGGTTTTGTTATTGCCTGAATAATTATCCTGAGGCAGAGATACTAAACAAGTCATTTAACTATCCAATACTAGCAACAGAGTGATTGAGTGATGTTTATTGCACTACTTGAGTCTATGACTATCTAGCACATTGGGCTTCTCTCTGACCCAGGCTACATCTTGTACAGTGGTCCTTGCCTCTTTTGTTACTTGTAAGATCATTGATATATTCCCCTTGATGAATAGCCATTCAGCTCAGTACTTGCCCGTGGAATTCGGCCACCTTTTCCACGGAACCTTCTACCCAAAAAAAAATGGCAGCAATGGGAACTGCGTGCATGGAAAAAAGTCTCAAAAAACCTGCAGGCCCAGCCAGGCGAGGCCTAGACACCGGAACCACGTGAGGTGCGCATATTCATCTATATCTCCCGTCTCTGTAACAGTTGAGGTCGACTTGATCCAATCCACCATCGCCGTATCGGGTGCTGGGTACGCTCTGGAAACCCATCAGATGGCTTTTCCTCCATGATCAAGGGTTAGTGATGAGAAGGGCTTCAACCCCACCATCTGATGTGATCGTGGTTAGCTCCATGGTAATGGTGATAGGAGAATGTGTTGAGAGATGAAGACAATATAGACCGCGAAAGCGAATGGGAATCCTCGTCAAAGTGAGGACTTTGTTACTTAATCTCGGCTCTGCAGACTCTACAGTGAGAGCTGGAGGTTTGTAGGGGACACCACTGATAGGTGTTGAGAAAATTCCCCCAACTAGCAACAGAGACTAATTACAATAACATCTCCAAGGCCGGCGTGCGGAAAATAGTAACCTTATGCGTAGTGAAAATTACCCTTGGCATTGAAATGTATAAGCCACTACTTAGTTTGTGGACTTGTTGGTAGATGGAAGCTTATGCAATCACGAAGGATAAAAGGATGTCGATTCAACTACTCTTCTGGTGAGTGAGTGTTTATTGTCCTAAAAAGTGTTGCGAAACCAAATCTATACACTCCCCGTGCTTGTGGTTTCAGTATGTGTCCATCAAGATTGTCGAGTGTCGTCTATCCGCTACTAGTTACACCATCATCTTTTGTTACGTCTGATATTCGAGACTGCGACGAGAATACGCGTAACTGGTATCAGATCTGTAGTTTGTTCCGTTGTATCCCGTAAGGAGGCTTTACACTCTAGCCCATGTCATTGCCAGACATCAATATATATAGACAGTCTCATATCCTTTAGTAAAGATCAAGAGTTTCGATCAAGCCTTTACTATAAACATAATTCACATCTACGGATACCCTTTGAAGTATATACTTCGTTATTTCTCCGTGATCACTCGAAGAGTTCTGCATATTCTTAGTTTAATTTCAACAAAAAGTCTATAACTATGTAAGGACATGTAGGTCCTTTCTGCCTACAGGCCAGGAGTATCTATGCCTCGGGTAGTGTACTTCCTCCTTAGCCTCCCCCATGACTTCTTTCCAGCAGTAATACGCCCACAGGTCTTCATTCGAGTACACTCTAAGAGGAGCCATTATCCCGTTATTATCTCCCCTCTCCAGGCTACTTTTCTAAACACAGCTACTAGACTCCCTTTAACCCCAATAGATAGCCCGTGCGGGATCTTCTGTTGACAGTAGTAAACAACGCTAGCACAGGGTATATGCAATCTCTGTTTGCCAAGCACCAGTGGGTCGGGACCACTAATTATCGAGTCTAGTAGCATTGACAAAGTGTATCCCAACACAGAAATAATAGGAAAATCAACAACTAAACCCTTCATCAATAACTGCCATTAACCATCACCTGGATTATCTTTGCACTCCAAATTTTCAACACTTAGATAGATAATTAATACAGGCTCTCGGAAATGATTGAGACACAGGAATCTAGGAATTGCCCGCAAATTATTTCCCAGATTAACAATCTAATTCAGATACCCTCATGCGCTAGACAGTTCAAGGACGAGCCGGAGATTGCATCGTGAGATTCTACCAATTATAAGAAGCGGAAGAAATGGCTTATCCAGAGCTCCAGCTTCGCAATTTGTATAATTTCCTTTTTCTTGAATATAGTCTTCTGAGGTATATTGTTGCATCTCTCATTATCAAGTTCTACTTCCCCACAAGTTTCCAATCTCCATTGTGAACCTCGCTCCTCACTTATCAACTTTGAAGACGACTAGTTCTACCCTTTAGGAATCCCGCCGTAACAGGTTTGGTCTTCACGTCGGCCCGTCTCTTGTTCGCCCACTAGCTATGCAAGCAAGGGGTACTATCCAGTGATCTTCTGTGAAAGTCGAGCCGGCAAAGACGAATTCTTCAGGTTCCAGTTGTGCCGGTGTAATGGCTCAGTATGCTCTGCATATCTGGGATAGCCAAGAAGAATTGCATCCAAATCGAAGTCGAAAGCACTCGCAAGTACATCTAAAATCGACTACTCATTGTTAACGTCCGACCTATCATTCTCACGCGAGTCCTACACTTTAATCTTACCAAACCACCTCGCCTCAAATACCAATAATGGCGTTACTCCAATTGCATTTGGGCATTTGCCTCATCAAAAACCGGCCATCTCCCACTAAACATTTACGATGCTATGTATACCCGCGAGGAGGAATTCAACTCATAATCTACAAAGCTTGGGTCTTGGTCTATGTGGGACAGTTGCTCTAATGGAGCTTTACATCTTGAGGGAGGACAGGCAGCTGGAACGTGGTGTTGGACTATTTTGGAAATGGGAGTAGAAGGTAACAAATCATCGAAGGGTTGCTTCTTTATTCTCTGACTATCCAGTATTTATAATACATAGTTTTTCTCATTTGAAACCCTACTAGATAACTTGCTGGCAATAATGCTACCACCGAAACATACCAAGTCGTGCTTAGGACAGATAAGATGCAAATATCATCGGAAACATAACTGTAAACCCGATTCAAAGTATGAGTTATGTAAAATCCGAACAAAAAGATATTTTCCTTGATACACATCATGCATCAGCATTAACTTCTCCGACCCGAGTCATGATATGAGAAAATTCGGATAAACCTATAATAACCATAGCGCAACACGTGGGACCAACGAGTGAAGAGGCCACAAATGTGGATAGTGAGTCGCACATTTTTCGAGTGTCTTCGACTTAAGGGTGTCTGTGGGCGCCGAGGCAACAATTTAGGATAGTGCTGCCGACACTCTAAAAACAGGCAACTGTTATGGCTGGACTTGCTAGGGCACTTGGAGGTAGACTAGTGGAAGAATCCAGGATCACGTGATAATATTTAACGGGGATGCAGGCCGGACTAAGGTCTAGCCACAGTCGAGCTTACCTCAAGCTTGTAGCTCCCAGCACTTCCTTTCTCTTTTTCTTTTCTCCTACCTACGTAGCGTAGCCAAATGTCCAAATACAACTTCTTCTTAGTGACCCGTATCATCCTCAGGTCAGTCGTAACAGCAAAGATGGAAGGTGTTTTGGTCCACCTCCTGGTCATTATCTCCCCGAATTAAAGTCTGGGTAGCCTGGACACCTACCTCACTCGAGAAAGGGAGGACTTTGAGGCCATATCTCGCGCGGTGGCTATATATAAGATGGCAAAGGCATTTGAGGGTAGCCAAAGGTTTTTCATGGTTTCCCTTTGGTGGATATTAACGGTTGAGGGAAGGGTGAGAGTCCCTAGCACCAAGGTCTCGAGTGGTATCAGTAAATGCACCCACTACATGAGTAGTCTAAATGTCAAACTAAGTTATTGTTGTACATAGTTGTCGGAGGTACTAGTGTTATGATATGCAATAACTTGGTAGTTGGGGTTAGGGCATTGCGCAGGGCCTTAGGCCACAGGACGGTGTCACTAGTGTAATGGTTAAGCGAGCGTGTATATATTCTCTTAGGTGTACCCACAATTAAAGGACACAGGTTTATTCTTTTACTTTCTATTCATACCCTTACAGCATTGTATCATACAAGTATATTCACTGTCACCCACATCAATCACATCATCCATTCCTCATCACTCCGCAGTATAGCTTCCGTATCGCTCATAACCACAAGAACTAGTCTTCTCCGTGTCATGCTCTTTAAGTGCAGAGCTTGTACCCGTCACGAATAAATTTTCATTATCATTTCACTCTGTGAAAGTCAAAATTAATGGGGATGGTTTTCAACTCTAAAAGATAGATAAATTGGTCCTCATTTAAAATTAAAAATTAAAAAAATAAATTGATATTATCGAAAAATACACATTTATTTCAAACATAATTGCGCTGTATTGCAAAAGTATACATCAAAGCCCTCAGTATGGCTCGCAAGCAAAATGAAAGCGTATTACATGTGTTGTATTAGACTGCTCCATCCTAATACTTTGTGTACCCTCCATTTGACTTTATCACTACTTCACGTCTTTTGTGTATGCTACCAACTAGTGACAATAGCTCCTCAGAAGGGATAGAGTCCCATGTGGCCTCTAGC